CTTCCTTGGCATCTCGTTCACGACTCACACAATAATCTACGAAGCACGGGATGAACCTTAGAGTTAACTTTGATCACCGACTGTGACAATAAGCGAAATGAGGGGCTTAAAAGCATCAGTAATGGAGCGAATGACCCGCTTTCGGTTTATGGGCTTCCATCGCGAAATGCACTGGGGGACGGGGGCAGACAGTCTGCTGTGTTGGAACATCGATTTGAATTATAGTTAAGGAAACCTGGCTACTATAATCTGTTTAGGTAGTTACATATGTGCAACATTAAAAATATCATGAGGTGTGACCATGAGCTTTTAAATAGAGTGGGAGAAGACAAATGAAGACCTTAACAAAGGCAAACAACTCAGGTGGAGATTAATTGCTTACCCCAAGTCCCAGATGATGAAAGTCAATAATATGCTTCGGAAAATGGAAGAAAAAGGTTCTCAAGTCGCGAATAGATGGAATGTGCAGAGGTTCCGACGCACTGGGCGCGGAACCGTGGGCGCCACACTGTAGGATCGCCTCAATGCCAGAGCGAAGGCAACTGGTAACGGAGTATTTAAAAAACACAGTTTTGTGCCAGAAAGAAAAATAGACAGATCAAGAGGATAAAACCCGAAGTATAAAAATTAAAGCCTCGCAGGAAGACGATCGACTCTTGGGGACAATTATGAAGAAGATTTGGGTGAAAGCCATCAAAGGAAATTCATCAAGTCAAAGTTTCGAACCAAAGCCAAGAATGCTAACAAGCTGAAATGTATGCCAGTGAATGCTAGCAACTAGTAGTATTTATAACTACCTTCGTACGCATTTTTCTTGCCTACACAACATTGCTAATTTTTGATTGGTCAGAGGAACTCGGCTTACCCTGGAGTTAAGTCACGATGGGTACAGTAGAGTTCCCTAGCTCTTTTTAAGCGTTCTTCGTGTCGTCTAGGGATACCGACGTCGACCCCATACCCTGACAGAGAACTGTGCACGGCAAATTCGACAATCAAGCATCCTACAGCTTCTACGTCCCGACGGAGAAGATCTTCCACGCTGTGGGCATCTGACTGTTCTAATGTTGGTTCCTCGACCTGAAGCAAGGAGAGCTAATTTATGGAGAACGGCTCCCAGATGGTGAAGTAAATGGAGTAAGCGAAATGGCTCACGGGGGGAGGCCTTACCGAGCGGTTCAACTCTGGTGGCATGGTCCCGCAAGTCATGCCCAGAAATGTGCACATTTCTTCGTAACGTTCCAGGAGTTCCAGTGGGTTATAATCAGGCGGTAGTTGGATGGTGCTGGCAGAGCTAAAAGAGTGAAATATTAAATAATGATAATAAACAGGGATGAAAAGGGGAATGCAGGATATTGATAG